AAAACCAGCGCTTGAAGTACCTCTATGAGAAGAAGCAGCTTGAACGGGAACCCGTCATGCGTGATGCAGAGGGCGTTCTTGACATGATCAAAAAGAAGGTAAGTAGACACCTCACCTTCGAATATTTCACCTGCAATTTTTCCGATTTTTTTGTCATACCACCCACCGTTAAAACGTCCTTTTTGACTATTTCCACCACGAGCTTCAGCAACCTGAAGGCAAACGCGGTGACTGGAAGGGGATTATAGTGAACGCAGACTCGCACAGGATCTACCCCACTCTATCCCCTTTCCGCATCTATGTATATCCGTTGTCAAGACAATAGTCGAGAAGACCGGAGATAGGGGAAGGCGCAGGCGGCTGTTGCGACCGAGGCCGCACTTAAGCGTGCCATCACGCTCAGAACGGTCAGTTCCGTAAGAAAAGCCCGAAGTGACTAGCCAAGTGACCTTTGCGACTACGCAGACGAGGGCATGACAGCCACTGCCGCCAACACGCCGCCCGCTAGGCGCCACCTGCCAATATTCACTCTTCTGAATCAGGGAGAGAAGATACAATTAACCGCACAACCATGTACACGGCCCGTAGCCCCAGTGGAAGCGCCAGCACATACACCGACAGGAAATCAGATCCAAGAAAACTGCAGGCCACACCAGGCTGCAGGGACCATGGTTGGCTGAAGCGTGGCATTTTATAGGCACTAAATCCTTAAATCTCAGAAGAATGAGGGAACAGTCCTGCATTTGGTCTAGGTCATCATCCTTTAGAGATGGGGTAACCATTCACTTATTGACTGAGAGATAATACCCATATTCATCAGCCACTTCACACACAGCATACACTGGGCTAATGGTGTGTCCGGTAAATGCGTCAGTGGGCAGAGTTAAAAACGAAACAAGTTGGGGGTGCTCGCCTCCAGCCTCATCCCATAGCCAATGTGAAAAAGACCACTTGACACCCAACCTCAATGAAAATTCAATGCACACGAGCCCGCGGTCCAATGGTAAAGTGTTGTCCTATCACCACACTGTCGTTGACTGCCATGAGAACTACTGCTGCATCGCTCATGGGCGATGAAAAAGCGTTTTGAAGCATTATTTAATATACCTGGCCACATAGTGCTGATATGCCGATGTACGGCAAGACATATGACGGAAGCCTCGGTGCATAGTATGGTAAGACTTTGCAGCCATTAATTCAGAGTGGAGAAGGTGAGCGACTTTACTAAGCATGCGATCAGCAAATTGCTTGCCCGTTTTAAAGTGTCGCTGTATTATAATATCAGCTAAAAATATAGGAAACACCTGCAGCTGGTTTAAAAATGGCCAGGTCTTTTTTTAGTTAAAGCTGGGAAAATAACTGGAGAGCAGTAAAGAAAGAGGGAGAGAATTCAGGCATCTATAAATCGCCAGATTAGGGCTTGCGGTATGCAAAGAAAATTCTATCTGCAAAGGCTGATTTGACCTCAGGTTCCACATTGTGGAACGGCGTCGCTGGCCGTGCTGGTGGGTTTATCCGCCCAGATCCCGCGGTTGGATATGCTACTTATCAGGGCTGTCCTCTGAGCCTGCGTTAGGGCGAAGTAGGATCTGCCTTACCCTATTAGGACCAACTGTACGTTAACAGACTGACCGAGTTCATTTCTAGCCTGCGGACAACAACAGAAGTCTGAATAATTCAGACAACCTGAAACCACAGTAGTTGGTGGCTCGGCGCTTTAAGCGAAACAGGGTCAATGTGTCGTGATTAAAACAAATAATGTCCTTGACGATCCTGTTTATCAGCTATGCCATAAAATCGATATACAAACTGGCCCTCTCACCGTTGAACTTACTAGCTTAATATTCAGAACTAACAACGAGGTGAGTGAGTAGCGGGCATGCTTTGGTGGTTGGCACGATCAGGAAAAGGGTTAACCCAGATGTTTTAAGCAAATATACGCCCACCGCTCTATGCGAAACGTTGTGGAGCAATAACTGAATATACATAATCGTAACAGAGGTTCGCGTATGCTACTAACGCGGGGTACTGGGAAACAGAACATTTAAATGGGGTCATGGCTTAAAATAAATTGCTACAGACAATTTCTGAGCCTCGAACACGAAACTCTGATTGAATAATCATTAAAATTCAGATCTAGGCCACGAGCAATGATAAAAGTATGGACAGATAGTATTGCCGGCAATACTAGCTGCTACGGCTTCTGTCAGATCCCGAGAAATGGTTTCCAAGGCAAAAACGGAGCGAGACAAGTGAGTTCCGTTAGCAGTCGGTGAACACTTGTCAACGACTGTCAGTGAAAAAATGTTGCTGTCGCCGTAGCCCAGCCCTGTCATCTCCATTTGTTCTGAGAAGTAATCACCATTTTCGGGGTTTCTGTATCGAACATGAGCAGCGCTGAGGTGATAGAACTATTGTCATGATACCGTTGAATTCTTCCTTTCCTATACTGTTTTCCTCTATTGCCCCATCCCACCTTATGTTTTATAGGTGCACGAATGCCGCATCCGTCTGTCCGAATGGATTCGGGATAGCGATAGGCTCAACCACGGAACGGTATCCCGGCAGGCTTTCCGGCGAGCGCTTGGCCTTCTGCCTATTCCACTGAAGGAAACCGAGTTGAACGTTCTTGAGCATTAGTAAGTCAAAAAGTTGGTAGAGTCCAGGAGGTAATTTCAGTATTTTGCTGTGATGTGAACTAATTAAACCGATCCGCTGATGATCCAAATTATATTCTTTGATTTTTCAAAATTTGGTTACTGAAATAAGAAATTTGCCTTGAGAATTGAAGAAGCTTTGGAGCATCAGCACCCTCCCAGCTGTCTCTTGTTTGAAAGCTCGTTCTTTCTACTTAGGTTTCGCAATCCTAGGCCAGAGTAAGCGTCCCTCAAAGAATTGGCCTGAAATTCTGGTGAGATCACCGGTACGCGCAAAACGTCCTCAGTACCGGCAACCGCCTTCCCACGCCCCTTGGAATTAAAGATACACGCAGGCCGGAGGCAGCCATAAGGTGCGGGGTCATAAATCCCGAAAGACCCACTGTCACGGCAGGAAACGTTTGCAGTCGTTTACTCGATCTAGCGAAGTAGGGGAAAATGCAACTGGGAGACCAATCTAGACGCGAATGGCCGAGCACGAAGCGGCAGTGAAGATGGACGATGCCAACACCCATGCTGTGGTTCATTCGACTGGACCAGGCCACACCGATCTGATCCTCAGTCGATTAACAAGCGCAGTCACCTCTCTGCTCCACATTCTGCACTGAGACTTTGACTAAACAAAAAAATTAGCTGTGCGGAGAGCGCGTTAATTGTCACTGCCTATGTCAGCGAGGCAACTGTTCTAAGAACCCACATAAGTGATGAATGTCCGGCGATTCGAAACTCGATTTCGGGTCATAAGGAACTGATCACACCACGCGCTACTACCACGTGCACCAGTACTACCTGCAATAAGTGTGGGAGCTGATACTGTTGACAGGCCTGTAGGCACATAGAAACCGCATACTGTAACACCGAGCCCGTCAGAAAGTTATTGCATCACATGTGACTGCCTGTGGTGCATTTTGGATAGGCACGCCGTGGCATAGCAACCACATACCATAAATTCTGCAACACCTGTGCGACCCACTATCCTTATGACTTGGTCTCTGATGATGAATGCGAGTGAGAATTCGAAACGTCTGGCTCACATAATGTGGCAGTCCGCGATCAGCGCCACAATCGCCGACTCATCTTTCCTTCGCCTGTAAAGCTTTGCGTACTCGCGCATGGCAATATACCCCTCTCACGCTTCTGGTTGATTCGCCACTAGAACCACTCGAAACTCGGAGCCAATCAGTGCAGGCCACAGTGGAAATGTCCCGGATCAAATTAATTCAACACTGGACGCACCACAACTGTTCGAAGGAGACTGCGAGTAACAATTGCTCTTATAAGGCTCTTTGGCCTAGAAATCACTGCCCAACTCTATCAGTCTTCCCTGACTCCTGATTAGGGAAACCTCCTGTTATAGACTTCACAATCTTCAACAGTAGCTCTCGTTCCAGTGGTCGTGTCTCCATTTGAGAGAGGAAGCCTACGCATTGTCCAGTAAAATCCACGCATCGGTCGAGAGTTGACGCAGTCCACTAAGTAGGAATTTTATTGACACTCGAGCATAACCTCTGTCATTTCGTTATTAACAATTGGCTAAAGGACGGCTTATGATAAATAAGCGGAGAAGATTTCTGAATGATACGCTCTGAATAAAATGTCTCAAAGATCTAAAGCACGATCGCTGCATGCTTTTATAGAAGCTAGAAACAGGGATAATGCACGGGAATAGGAGGCCCCGAGTAATATGATTTGGTATACGGTGAATTCCAGGAAGGCTGCCTATTCGCTTATTCTTACCCTAACTTTAAGCGTTACCTGAACCTTAATCATAGCCCTCAATTTAGCCCTAGCCCGAATTGGCCTGTAAGCGTAAAGCCATCTACTCAACGGGACTCCTATTTCCACTTGTTACCGGGATAGGTGCTCCAGTCTCTCTGTACTCTGTTGCTAACTCTTTTCGACAATCAATTGCCGATCGGTGGGTAAATGTTAGCGATTCTTGAACATTTTCAGTTTCAAGGCCAAGGAGGAAAACTTCATCAACTGGAGAGCCTTCTGTGAGGAGGTGGAGTCCGTCTTCGCAACACCACACTTGGAAAAGGATCCACTTAAGGAGGCACAGGTGCTCAAGACAGAGGTCGGAATTTCAGAGAACTACCTTCCGATTGGACTGGCCGCTGATGCGGATGCAGCCATCAAGAAGATTGGTGGACTGGTAGGTGGAATTCAACTGCTTTTGTTAAACTGCAGCCAGAATGGCAGTCCTTTATGATGCAGTCGAAAGTGCAGTTTTGCAATGCTCTTATTCTGTGAGAAATTCAAACAGTGCGGAAGTTGCGCGCGACAGTGCCAGGGATTGCATTAACTCTCGTAGCCTTTCATTCGGTTGCCAATAAATTTCGTCTAGTCGTAAAAATAGGACACGATACATGAAGACTGGGGATGATACGATTGAATTCTGTTTCCCCCCACACCCCTGGGTTTGATTCCGCTGTGTCAGCCAGGATGGCTGCCGCATTTCGTCGTAGTGCATTCAGGGGATCCAGTGTATCCAGTGGAAGGTATCTGCGTGGTTTAGTTTTTCACTGAGTTTTAAGCATAAGTGCTGATCCTTTTCTAAATTTGGTTTCTTAATCCATTTCCGTGGGCCCGAAAGGCAGTGTCGACGGTCACTGCGCATTTGACCACTGACGTACTCAGGAATATTTTGATTTCTTCAACAACATTATCCCGGTGACTTCTGCGATTTCCTACCTCCTTGAAGTTTTTTTCTCCTAAAAATTCTCTTCTATTAGACTCTCCCCCCAAAAGTGACAGTTTTTTCTCATAGGAAAATCCCAAGGAGGTTTTTCACTGTCTGCTCTTTTTGGCCTCGCCAACAAACCGTGACAATATTTTTCTGATACCACAACACGCATGTCAAATAGGGAACTCAAAGGTAACCCACCTACATATCTCTCAAACATACTGATACCGATACATTCATTTTATTTTCTAGGTGCGACAGAGGAGAATTCAACTCACGCCGCTCTTCTCAGACTTTGATCAAACTCATCGAATGACGCTGAGCCAGAGTCAATTCCGCCGCTGTTTGATGACGCTCGGATTGGCTGACACCATTACTGAACACGAGTGGATTGCCCTGTACGCCAAGTACCGGCACCCAATCGGCGAGATAGACAACATCAACTATTTGGCCTTCTCGGACGACGTGTACGAGGTTGCGGGCATGGTCTACAGGACACCATAACAGGTCCAGAGCACTGCCTTGTGAAGGAACCCTGCTGAAGGGTGTGATCCTTGAACTGGATTGAAGGAGATTGGTAACAGAGATGCAGTCAAGAGCAAAATTAATCCGAAGTGTAGACATTCACGTTGCTTATCATCACTTCTAGCCATAGAGAGAGAGAGCGAAAGAACATCATTCAATATATACTGCGCCTGCATGAATTGTTTACGCACAATATGTCGACATTTGCTCGGGGATAAGTGCATGCACGAAAAATTAAAAAAGACAACAATATTAATAACCATCTTCTTCTCACTGGCAAACATCAAAATAAGCAAAGTCAGAGAGTCACAATCCAGGAGATACGCAAGCATCTAGCAGGAAATCCTCTAATGTGGCGAGTACTCGTTTATTTGTAGTGTCAAAGTAGTGGTTGAACTCGGAGCACTACAATCGTTAGGCCAGATCCACAATAGTAGATAAAGGGCAGATGGCACCCGTGAGAGAGATTTATTGTGTACGGGACTCCCAGTTGCTGTCTCAGACTGCAGTGGCCACTGGAAAGTGCTGACGACATCCAACCAGGTCTGAGAGAGAATGAGACAGTGGCGGCAGTTGCTTAAGTGGGATTTCGGAGCAGGTTGAAGTATGCAAGTGGCGCTTGGGCACTCACGTCTGCCTGGACGCACGTGTGTGTGTCCTAGTGAAAGTCGGTCAAGGGTGTGGAGATTAGCCCGTCTGAAAGCGCTGACTCAGGTAGTGGATAACCTTGAGGCAGTTGGCCTTGAACAAGGAAGTCGGACGCCGGCTACATGTTCACTTAGATGACTGGTTGTGCTTGGGCAAGCTACTCGCTATCTTTCTCCGTGTGTCGAAGAATTTAACCAATTTTAAAAGAACGGACAAATAAAGCCGGCTGACCAAGTACGTATTCAAAGTCAAGGCTTTGGAAAAATATGATATCAAGATTTGCGGAAAACCTAGCATGAAAGAGGAAATACTTGTAGGTTTCAATGGGGCCCTCAGGGACTTTATCGCATACTGGCTTATACGAATAATTGCCTTCTGGCGAACCTCGGAAAGACGCGATATACTTGCAGATCCGGGGAAATATGCTACGCTTAAGTTGTAGGCGACGGTTTCTTTCCTCCTAAAAATGACCAGTCGGTAGCAAAATGTAAGGTAGACAAATCAATCGACCGCGAAATCGTTGATCAACAATTCGGTTATTTAAATGCACACCTTCAGACCGACAATAGCCGCCCTTACCCGTAAAATCCAAGGGCTTTTACAAGTAAATCCCTGTTAGGCAAAAACAGTCCAA